GAATTGAAAAATCATTCTCATGCATGAGACCAACCCAAGCATAGACATTGCTCAACCCTAAAAAACAGAAATCAAAGAGAAATCCTCTGCATGAAGGTGAACTTCATCACTAGTGCAGGACTGATAAAACAAGACAGCATGTGTCCCTCATATCAAAAGGAGTCCCAATACATATTCACATGAGCAAGTACAGCAACCTAGCCCTGTGGTGCTGAACAAAAAACAAATTGTTTTGGTAATGAAAAAAAAATAAAGGAAATGAAACCACACTCAAATATCATTCTTACTGCCATACTAGAACAACACACTTGAGCTCTCTAGTCCTGCATGCTGCCTCCAGCAGTGGTTAAATACCTGATGATTCAGAGCATGAAGAATGGAAAACACAATACACCTAGCCAGCTGTGGGATGGAATATTACATGTGAGCTGGAGGGAGAACARGGAAAAGACTTTCTTTCTTGAACCCCACAGTTGATCAGTTTACAGCCTGGAGCACGAGGCTCTTTCAGATGYTGTATCTTACCCTTGGCGCTGGCATTGCTATGAATGTTTTTTCTGCATGTATTTCAGTCTGGCAGCCAGCCAGGTTTTCCTCCAATCCACTGAARTCAGGAAATGCAAAGTTATGGCATATGTTAAAAGAAGAGCACACACAGAACCTGCAGAAAGCTCTGTGTTTGTCCACACATGCAAATAGTCTCCATCATCCATCAGGTGATTTTCCTTTTATTTTCTTAGACAGAACCCTTTCTTCTGCACCCCTTTAGCCTGCAGATTTAATTTTACACTACTTTGGCAGCATGAAACTGATCCCAGATCTCCTGGATCTAGTATTTTAATTACCAGTGCATGAAACAGTATTATGGCCAAACAACTGCCAGGAAAGCAGATTATGTGATGGAARGGGATGCTGGTGCTGTGCTGCAGACAGGGACATGCCCGTGAGAAGGACCATTCCAAGATGCCACCACAGCTTTCTGTGTCCTCTGCAAGGGACTCTGGCTTGCACATCGGGGAAGGGGGAAGGAGGCACGTTCTGGTGCTGTTCTGTACTGTACCTGAGATGTCCCTTTAGCCATAGGGGACTAGACACAGAAAGACAAGTGTTTGAGTGTCATAATAAATGCATGATACAACAAGCTTGCACTTATAGCTAAGCAATAGAGTGTCAGAATTTTACACTTGGTTTCCTCCAGGATCGAAGTCAATAAAAAGCAAGAAGCAGGGGAGAATGAAGCTCTTGCATCTGGCCTGCTTCCAAATAAAAGTGGTGCAGTGGCGGAGTAAGACTTACAAAGCCAGCATCTCTGTAGCGCACTGCAGAGGCTGAACCAGACACTGAGGGATAGACTGAGCTCCTCAAACTAAATTTAGCAGCAGCCCTAGCCTTGATGGATTGTACTTGTGCACGGGGATAGACAGAGGGCAGCACGTGCTGAGCACACTGTACCCCGGCCGCTGGCAGTACAAGAGGCAGGAAAGAATGAGCTCTTTCCCACACAGGGAGTTGTGGCGAGGCTCTGACTCCTTTGCACCAGTCAAGTGCACCAAAGAGAATTGAGTGGGCCAGACAATTTGGGCAGTTATAAACTAAAATTGTTCTGCAGATATGTAATATCAGAATTAAACAACATTTTTTGTAATACATCACAGCCTGACTAGCTATTTTCAGAGCTAGCTAAGATTCATTTTATTTTCCACCAAAACTATATAGTGAATTCAGGTTAACCAGAGCCCTTTGAGACTTTTGTGGACAATACTTTTTTGGCTTTCTTCACATACATACTGGATTGCGCGCTCTTGGAGCACAGATGCTTCAAAGAAGTCAGAGAAACAACTTGGGGAAAAAAACACACATGCAGGACACTATGCAGACAGGACTGCCACCAGTGATACACCATATTAACAGCAATTATTATAATAAATGAAAAGATAGAAGGGGAATCTGGTTTGGAAGTAGAGTTAAATTACATGGACAGTATTGAATTTTAGTGTCTTGACTGGCACCATTTTTCTTCTTTCTTTCCTAGACGTTCTCCCTTTTTTCAAAGGATTTATTTTTAAAAGACTCCAGGAAGCCAAGAGGGCCTATTAGACTAGCAATTATCCTGAGTCACTTCCTACAATGGTTTAAAACAACTTTTCAGAAATCTTTTCCGTGGGTATGGATGCAAATACATCAGTAGCTCACAGAATCAACCGGTAAACCTGAAGCAGAGATGATCTATACCTAACTATATCACCAAAATTAAAACAACCCATGTAAACTTATATCCAACTCATAATGATGTGGATATATTTATCCATTATCCATGCAAAACAATTGTGATGATAGAATATGGGACTCAACTCCTTGCATTTTAGATCAAAACATTTAGCTCAGAACAATTATTTTTCCCATTCTAGCTTGTGCTATAGCTGATGTGTGCCCAGTGGATGGAATGAAGCAAGTAGCAATAAAATGAGAACATGACAGTTTTATCACATCCACACTTCTAGGTACTTCGGTTTGCCAGTGCTTAGGCTCTTTACCATTGTTCTTTGTGTATTATTTGTTAATTAAGGGGAAAACAATATCAGTTCCCAAACTTCTCTTTATCATACTGAACTTCAGAGTTATCTGCATAATCTCTAAAATCTCCTAAATACATGAGTTTTACTGTACTGCTTTCTTGTTACCATACTGCAATCCTCTTGTGGAGTAGTCGTTTCAAACTATGTCTCAGTTTGACTGTGACTTCTATGACTGTGTATTTTAGGGTGGAAGTTCCTTAGTGTTTCTGAAGGAAAGTGTTTCTGAAGCAGAGTTCAGTCTTATGGTCATAGGTACAAAGACTTGATGTGCACATTCTTGAAAGTCCTACACACAGCAGAGACTCGGCTATGTTTGAGGCATGGAGCTGCAAGTGGGTGATGGGAAAATTGAATGCTTATGGGTTAGGAGCAAGGAGAAGGCCAGCAAAGCTGAAATCCTTTTTGGAGTCTGCTGTAGACCACTCAACTATGGTCAATTGAAGATGTCAGTTGAAGAGATGGGGGGAGATGCTCTACAAGCAGCTGGCGGAAGTCTCACAAGTCTTGAGAGTTCCCTTTAGACATCTATGGGACAAGCTGCCACCAGGTAGCAACTTAGCTCTATGGCTGATCTTTCAGACAATTAGTGGCCAGCGTGTCTGTAGGTGGTCTTGGGGAAGAAGACACTCAACCCTGAATTATCTTTGCTGGTCATTAGAAGACAAGTAACAAATCTGATAACTGGAATGGTGAACAATTCCACTTGTTCGGTGCTTCATTTGTATAATCCAAATGAGGCTCTTCTCATTCAGAAGAAAATATTTTATTTGCTCAACAGAATACTGATTTGGGCCTTGGAACAGGTTCTTCTTAATGAATCTGCTAGTTTCTTTGACTCATTTTTTAAGTACAAAGGTGGAAATGTTTTCTTAGAGACACTATTTTCTTCTGGAATGTACTTCAAGGTTTTTGGTAATAATGTTAATAAATTGATATGGGGCTAGCTGGCATTAGGTTTTATCAGAGTGAGTTTGGTTTGAAGCCTTCTGAAGTTGATCAGATGATTCTTATTAATGTCAAAGAGTCTTGGCTCAGCCCCAAATGTGATGGTAGTAGAACAGAAGACAGAAAACACATGCTTATAAAAAAACAAATCCACACAGCCCCAAATAGTATATTTGCTCTGTCAGTAAGTTGTAGAGAAAAAAAAATTGGCTTTACATTTTGAAATATAATTTGCATCTCCAGAAGTGGTACCAAGACACTTCTTTTATCTGTTTACAAGTTTAAATAAACGACTGTAAAAAATAAATTAAAAAAAAACCCAGTTGCTACTATAGAAGCATATTTGAAGACTCTAGAAAATATTGAATGAGTTTTGAATTTCTTAAAGAGAAATCAGACAGGGCTCACTCAAGAACCTTCATACCAATTGCTCCGTACTCAGGCCTCAGTTTCCTCATATTTTAGGTGGTRCCACTGATACTTACAGGCTTATAGTTAAGCTAAGGTCTTAAGTGCAGAACAAGAAGTTGTTATCAGTCCAAATTTGTGATCACTTGCCTCAGCAGGACTATGCCATAAGAGTATTTTCCTCTTCAAGTGCTACTTAACTACTTAACATTAATGCTAATACTTTTGCCTGTTTTTTTTTTTTTTTTTCTTTTCTGTTTTGATATCTCTTTTACGTAACTCTATAAGTGGCTCTCACAGTAGATGAAGTGTGTCATGCTGAGCAGTAAGTGAGCAKGGACGTAAGAAATAGTAACAGAAATAGAAATGCAAACAGGGACAACATAGTAGAGATCAAAGATCAAATGAATTTTCTGACCCTGGATTTGTCTGAGGTGGGATATTTCTAGAAGGTATTTTGAAATTATTATGGAAGCTGCCCTGTGTACCTGGGAAAATGTTACAGCTGGAAGAGGTTGGTACAAAACTGAAAGAGGATTTGGGAAAGATGCTTAAGAAGGGACGTCTTGCTCCCCTTTCAGTCAAAGTCTAGACGCAGCAGAGGGCTGTGGACTGACAGTGTGTGAGTGGGAGGCCTCTTTGCCAGGCATGATGAGAACAATAGTTGTGCACTGCATATTTGTAGCTGAGAGGCTGGAAAATACCAGTTTCTAAACGGGGACTCGCATGGCAGAGAGTTACATCCTGGGTGTGGGTATAATATGCAACCAGCAGAAATGAACAGGGATTGTCCTTTGCCAAGACTTTAACAGCCACATCTGTAGTTCCCCTCCACTTCCTCTCTGACACCCTTTGGAGGACTTTTCTATCTAAAAGTGCATAAATTACAAAGCACCAAGAACTGCAATCTAGTCTCTACCTAGAGAAACTTTTAGACCATTCATGCCATAAACGTCTCTCAGAGGCTGTGCCTGACGTCAGAGGATTTGGAGAGAGGCTGGTCTGAAAGTGAAAACAGCAGCACTTCCAGTCCCACTACAGCAGAGCAGAGCCAGCGAGAGGAGCAGTACAAGCATTTCTCTGTGTGGATTATAGGACTGCAGACTGGGGGGGAACTGCGTAGAGACATGGGCRCTACAGTGTAAGTGCAGCTGCTACAGCAACTCGCATTTCTTTGCTTGTTTTCAAGAAAAAATCCTTGCAAGCCTGCAAGCCCTGCTTGCCTTTCTTTTTCTTTTCTTTCTTCTGTTTTTTTTTCTATTTTTTTTCTCCTCTGAAACTACCTAAAGCCGGCTTGGCAGCCCACAGGATTCAGGTTTGTCTCGATCCCTTTTCCTAAAGGTAGGCAGGGGRGCTAACAGTGCAGGCTTTGGCACCGTTCTGTATGGGGATGGGGGTGTCTGCATGTATGTGAGTGCAAGGGGGAAGGAGAGAAAGGAAAGCATGAATCTTTGGAAGACTAAGAAAATAACTGCAATCCAGCTCCATTTTCTAGTAGCAGGACAACAAAATCCCAAGTAAGCCCTAGGCAAAAACAAAACAAAACAAACTTCCTTAGGCCATTTCATATATTTTTTTTTTAACTCTTTAATCCCTTGTCATGTTGAGGAGCTAGCAATTGCTCTTTCTTCTCAGGGAAGAGGGGCAGTTTTCTAACTCCCTGACAATGCAGTCTTGTCCCATCCTGTTTGCCAGGTAATGACAGTAGCAGATCCTAGCAGGAGTGTGAGGTGTCCCTCTCTCTCACACTAGGTATCTTGAGCCTGTGCCAGCCTGGTCCTAGGGGCTCTCCAAAAAGCCTACCAGTTCTGTAGATGAAACAGGAGTGTCTTTTATGTACAGAAACTAGCTGTAACTGTGTCATTCCTGAGGGAGGCAGCTACTGGAGAGTCTCCCTGTGAAAAAAACRGCAGGGGAAATGCTACAGATGCATGGTGCATGCCTCAAGGAAATCTAGTGACTTTTTTATTTATTTATTTTTTAACCTCAGCAGACCAGAGATTACTAAGCCTGCCCCACAGGAAGGAGGTGCTTTCACTAGGACTGTGTTTATTTACAATTAAAATTTAGTGCTGTTTATAATTCCTGCCATTAGCCCTGCCCCCTCCACCACCTTCTCCCACCTGAATGTCCTGTGTTCACTCCCCCAAAAGAAACTAGAACATTTTTGGGTTCAACTCTGACACCAAATGTACTCCTCAGTCACACCTCCTCTGATCAGACCCGTGATAGAAGCAGCTCTTTTTCCCGGGCAGATAGCAGAGCTTTGTGCCTGCCCTGCCAGACTGACTTCTTTAGCTGGCACCTGAAACTAGAAAACGCTTTGCAGGGCAGGTGCTGGAAGTGCAGATGACGCCCTGGAACATAAACAAAACGCCGGGCTGAGGAGCAGCCGTGCAAATTGCACAATGCAGAGTGCTGTGTTGTCAGCATTTGGCTTCAGCCAACAAGCAGTCACAAGAGAGGCAATTGCAAGTGTGTGCTCCCTGGGCTGAGTTGTCTTGGTAATGAAATAAGTCTGCAAATATTTTTCTTCTTGAGGGTGGCAAAATGAGTTGCTACAGCAGGGCATACAGGAGGAAAGGTGAGGATGGAGATGGAGATGGAGGAGTTTCTCAAGATTCACCCCTGCTAAATGAAATGAGTCAGATCTGGGTTTCTGTGCTGAGAGCAAATGTGGGAATGCCCATTTCCATGGCTGACTGGTTGATGCAGCCACTGTACTGGCTAATGCAATGGGGTAGACTTTCCTGGGCAGGTGTTCAAGGGCTAAACCCTGCTGAGCGATACCATGTAATGCAAGGAAGCTACACTGAGCTAAAGAAAATGCAGCCCTACTGACTCTGTGTGTAAGGGAACATATGTTCACAGAGCTAGATCTTGCAGGGATGTGCACTGGAAGTGAAATCTCCAGTCTTGGAAGGTGTTGGGATTTGGGCTGCTGTACCATGATGTATCAGAATCCACTTTGTGTTCTTTATTTCTATTAGGTTGTATTTCCAGTAGCCTAGCAGCTAGCTCCTTTTCCAAGAAGCTGCATTAATTTCTTAGGAACTGCCTAATCACATTGGCTGGCAATGTGAAAGAAAAAAAATACTTTAAAATTTAGTAACTTGTTAGGAACGTGTTTACCTCAATAAAAGCTTCAGAGCTCTTGCAGCCAAGACAACTGTGTGGGAGCAGCAGACGCTCTGTCCTGGTTGAACAGTTAAGCTGTTTGAAACGCACTAGCCAACATTGCATTGAAGTATGTGGGACTCATGAAAACTGGGAGAGCGGGAGAGAGTTATTAAGGAGGAAACAACTTCAGATTCAGAATGTATTAAACTGATTCCTTCCTTTCTTTCATGCTCTTCATCTCTCTGTCCCTCACCTCASCATCCCATTAAGAAGTGACACTATCTATCTGCAGGAATCCGTAAGTCTGAAAGATAATTCCAGGCTTTTGGTCTGTTAGCCACAGTTCAGGGGGTAAAGTTAGACACTAGGGGGAAGAGTGAGAGGAGAACTGGGAAAAGGAGCTGCAGATCTGACAGGAGGTAAATGTGGTGTCTCACAAGTAGGCTCGACCTTGTGAGACCTCCATGACCTTGGAGGAGGAGAGGTTTATTCCAAAGATAGGCACTGACCAAGGGAGAGCTTGGAAAGCAGACCCAAGGAGGACAGAGCAGATGTCTTTTCAGTTTTGCTTAGTGGAACAGAAAGCAATTTCCTATCAGAGCTTATGGCAGTCACAGTGCAGCCCTGAGGTTTTAGAAGCCTGTACTGTATGTTACGAAGTGCAGTCTCATGGTTTCACAGAGCGGAGTAAGCAGATTCTCTGGATATCTTAGTGGCTTTACCACACTGCCTCACTTGTTGGCTGCTATACCCACTGTTTATTTTAGCTGTGCTCCTTATGTATTATGGAGATCATTCTGTTCTTTTTGAACTCAGAGACAAAATTTCTTCTTACCAAGTTGGGACCAGGCATATACTGACTGTATTTACTGACAGGGTGGTATTGCTAGAGCTGAACATCCTCTTGAAGGCATCTCCCAGAAACTTCTGGTTTTGCTCCATCTGCATCACTTGCCATCAAATTCCCCCAAGGTCCTGTATAATACCAGAAACACATTTAGTTGTTCCAGGCCAGCCATCTGACCTAGCTATTGAGCAATCAAGGGACACCATTTCCTGACATTTATGGAAAGGATGTGTGGGAGATTTGGCTCTTGACTCTTTAATTAGTGTGAATTTTCAAACCTGGGTCAGTCCTGTGGAGATTTGACCCTCTCCCACTTTCTGCCCCTGCAGCCCCCAGGCAAGCACAACATGTTCCTAAGGCAAAAGAAAATTAGCTGCTCTATTTTTTTTTATTGGAAGAAACAGTTTGCATGTCTGTTCCTATGCTTTTCATTATGTGTATGGTGGACAGTGGTGTATCTTGCAGCTTTTTCCTTTTGCCTATCCCACCACCTAATATTCTGCATTTGCAGCAAACATAGTGACAGGACTCAGTACGTTCACTAGCGCTCAAATAGATCTGATCTATTTTTTGTCTTGCTCAGTTCCACTTAACGGCGGAGTCACTCCTGTTTGGCACTACTCTTGAGTCATTGTCAGGCTGAGGACTTATTATCTTCCAAGCTCTGTGTAGGTATTAAATTTCATACTGTTGTGTAATTTAGGTAAATGGACTTTATCACAATGGATTCCCAGCCAGTGCAAATAGGTGTGGAGCTTCCTGCGTGGCTGTAGCAAGTGTGTTCCAGTTAAGGATTTGGTCGAGTGGCTTCAGATATAACCCAGGATCTTTGGCCTGGTAAAGTGACTTGAAGCACAGRCACCCCAAACCCAAGTAATTTATACTACTAGCAAAAGTCTTTTGTTCAAAAAACTTATACCAGGCTTCAATTATCAGTAAATTCAAATCATATCAGAATTTGGTCCAGAGAAATTGAGTCTCAAGCTGTGGAAAGTGACCTGTAATTTTGGCTCTTTATTTTTAGTGTCTTGTTAAAAATACAAAGATACTTGAAAACTGAGACAGCCAAAATTATAAGCTGCTTTTGAAATGTTGACCAACTCACTTGGACAAATCTACACAACGGGTTTGATTCTTCTCACATGCTTTTTACAGCAGGGTAAGTCCATGAAAGTCAGCGGAGTTACTCCTTTTTTAAATCAGGAGAAGTCAAAGAGGAACTGTGCTCTGTGTTGCCAGAAGCTCCCTTGAGCTTTGGAATGCCAGGCCTGTCCTCATATGCTGTTTTTCTTGAAATGTCCAGGAGATACAGCTTTGATTTGCTGAGAGCCAGGCAGCCACATAACCRTGAACACATCACACACTGAGCAGCACTACATGCAGTGAAGTCTCAAACCTTCTTAGACGTGTATGAATAAATCTGTGCCTGATAATGGTCAGATAGGCTTTTCCCTGCAGAATATTTCCCGTAGGCTTTATGTCCAGTTTATATGTGCCAYGGTAGACTTTCAAAGTGTTTTTCACATGGTATTTCAATACTGAAATTTTGRTATATCTGAACTGTATGGGGTCAGATATTATTTTCCAATATTAGGAATTTTTTAGAGTTAAGACAGTATGGAGTGAAAAACCTAAATAAGAGAAGCTCATGCAGACTTTGGATTTAGCCAAAAASTTATTCTGAGTGTATTGCAGGCTTTTATACCAGAGATCTTTTTTCTCTGGAGTTAGAAATTAGGAGCTTAAGGTAGAAAGAGGAAAGTAGATAAGAAAGGGAGGATCAGAAGGCATTCTGGAATTCAAGGAGTGGGAGCTGGACATCAGAAGGATGTGTTTAGATTGCAGGAAAATGGAAAGAGAGGTAGCCTTGAGGAACTGGGAAAATCTTTGGCAACAAGGAAGGAATAGATTCCCTCCCTGAATAACAAGTACTTGCTCACTTTCCAGTTTTGCTGGCTTCAAAGCCACAATTTCTGCTCAAGAGCTTTGAAGTCCACATTTGTTTTTTGTTCAGAGTATCTTTCCCTTGACAGTGCCATAAGATGACTTAAAGGCAGACAGTACATATGCAGCCCAGCTCTTCACTGAGCTGGGTGTAAAGCTGATATGTGTGGAGCAAGGACCAGTTACTCCCCATAGGACATGGGGCTGGGAAGCGAGGGGGACAGCATAAC